TAAAACCATCTCTATACCCTTCAGCATATCTAAGAGCTCCGATCCGAGATAAACGGGCATGAAGAACACTCATGCCACCATCAACTCTGCCTATGACATTAAGCAGAACAGAGCGTTCGTTAGAGAATTTCTCTTATGAAATAGAATGGGTCAGCCGTTTAGCAACTAGAGTGCGCTGAAGATCCCTCTTCTCAACCTTCAGAGCATCTCTTTCGGTCTGCATGACATTTTTCTCTGTCTTCAGGATGTCCATCTCATCTTGAAAAGAGTCTCGTTCATTTTGCAAAGCGTCTCTCTCAGCCTTCAGAGCATTTATTTCCTTTTCAGACTCATTCAGCTTGACTAATAGCTCTGTGTTTTTGGCTTCAACTGCCTTCATTCCTTTAACAGATCTATCAAGACCAATAAAGAGGGCTTTAACCCTCTTGTTTGCCGCTCAAGATTTCTTTAAAAGGTGATCATCCCAAACAGAGTCTGCACAAAGACTCAAGCGTTCTGGTAAGTACAAGTGCAAAGTGATCTGGACAAGGAAAATGAACAAAGGAATGAATAAAAAAAAGAGCTACCTCAACAGCGACAGCAGGAAAACGCTGGTACATTTCAGTACAGGTCATTTTCTCCTGGTTCTCAATGTCCTTAGGGGTTTAAATGCCCTTATAGAAAGTAAAGGAGGTGACAGGATCCTTGAACACAGTATCCGTGGGGGCCACAATTGACCCATCCTCCCGTCTGAGCAAGGGGCGCCATGGAACCACTGATAGGGAAAAGGCAGAACTTCTGGTTGATTCACCCTCTGGAATGAATATCTGAGGAGAATAGAGAGTAGTGGTGACCCTGAAAGTCCGAGCCCTTCGGGCTAAAGGAAGGTCATATTGGTCAGAGCCACCCTCAAGCTAGGGTCTTTTGCCCAGGGTCTTTTTCGAAACACTAGTTCGGGCGAGGGAAGATCCCTCAGCGTTCTGAGAAGAACCTTCAGCATTCTGAGCAGCAGGGGGAGAAATTTCGTTCGGGGTTTCAGAGGGTTCATCGTTTGGCTAGATGGGTTGAACTTCAGCCGAGGTGGATGCAGAGGGTTCAATGGTTGGCCGCCCAGCGTTTTGAGTCATAACCAGGACGGTTGGATTGGCCACAGAGGTGGCTGGTGCAGCCGCAGGAGTGGCTATAGAATGGGGCCTCTTTTTGCTAAAATTAGGAATCTGGATATGCTCCATGGTGGCACCAAGAACAGATATGTCAGAGAGGTTGTCCGGGGTGAGCAGGTCAGTAGCGGAGGGGATGTCGTTCAGAACTTTCTCCTCCAGAAGGTCAAGTCCGGCCCTGCAAACGCTGTAAACCAATTCATCATGTTGGATGTGAAGGCAATTACAAATAAAAGTGCAGAAACGAGGAAGGTAAATTTTACAAGGGCAATCAGTCAGATGTTTCTTATATTTCTTATATAAAAGGACAGAGCACCCTCCGAAAGTGGTTAGGATAGGGAAAGCCTGAGCAAATGGAGTTCGCCAATCTCCACTGACCCCAATTAAAATTTTCCTCCAACCCTTTTCAGATGAGAGTTTATCCGTGCATATGGATCGTTTCTTAATGGGAAAGAAGTAAAGGTACATTTCATTGATTCGGATTTTGGTGACTCTATAACAAAAAAGAAGATCTATGGTGTTTAGATCTAAGTTCCTATCACGGTTTAGGAGCAGCAGAATTGATATTACCCTAAGAAAATTGGGTTTGACTTGAAGAAGGGAAAACCCTAATTGGCTAAAAACATAACAGAAGAAGTGGTGTAAGGGAAATCTAATTACATTAAGATGAAGAACAGAGAAGGGGATCTCGCCAAGGAGGAGACCCTCCCTGAATCTCTTGTCCAGGTCCGTGGGGTAGACTCGAAGGGAAACATTGTTAGGAATGTTGTTCCTCAAACGAAGAACATTTAAATCGGGAGCCATTAAAAACTTGAGAGAATTTCTTAGTTTTAAGTTTTCTTTCTTCTAAGGAAAATAGCAAGGGAATGGAACTAACCTTAGAAAAGAGATCTGCAGAGTGTACCGCAGTAGAGCGAAAAATAAAAATCACGGAGGAAGAACTCACCGGAGAAAACAAGGAAACCTTACCAGAGAAGACTGGTTATTGACGGATGTGGTTGAAAGAGACGATACTCAAAGGTAAAGAAAAGAAAGGCAGAGTGAAGACAAAAGATGAGGGTTTGGGGTTTTAAAGAGAAAGTGGCTTAATATCCAAAGAATCATGGCAATGATGCTGCAACGAATCTCAAAATGTGGGTCTTTGAGCCAACCGTTCGCTTCCTCACGTCACCGCCTCGAGCCGTCTTATCATGATTAAGTCCCTTCGATAATCCCACCCTAATTAATTAGGGTGAGATTATGGGGGCAGATGAGGATACCAAAAATGGCCTGGGCTGGGAACGACCTAGGTTACTAAAAACGTGTCTGGAAAGAACACGAGGTTCAACCAAATCATCACTGATCAGGCCCAGGACCAGAAGATCAACTTGAAAGCCCAGTCTTAGAGTGAAGGAAATGGGCCCATATCCAAGATGAGCCAAAAGGATCAGCCCAGCGTGGAGAGTTAGTTAGGAAGCTTCTATAATGACTGTAAATGTCTATAAATAGACTGAGAAAATGAGGGAAAAGGGGTTGAGATACTTTTGAAGTGTAAAACTATTCCATCCAAATTAAGAAAGAATATTTCTTGCATCTTCAATTTCAAATCCAATCCAATTTCTTTTCTTTTCTTTTATAAGAAAAATTACTTTTACTAATTTGTCCTAATTTTTTTTTTTCTTTTTTACACAAATTTTTATTTCAAGGATAAAAATATTATTTTAAATATTTGTTTTTGTTAACAATTTAAAAAAAAAAAAAAAAACAATTCTAACTTTTAATAGGAAAATATATCCCCAAATCATAAATCTCAAAATAAAAAGTTTGTTTTTTAATACTAGGAAGATCTTTATAAATTCTTGTGGGTGGATGGTATGTTGAATGTTCCGTGTCTGGACTAAACGTATTCAGTGTATTGAGTGTGAATTTGAATTCCATCCGGTGAGGAGTAAGTTTGCAATTTTAAATCTCATCGTTTGTGATAGGGTTGATGCGAATAAGAGTCATCCAATGTGAGAAAGAGTTTTTTTTTTTTTAAAAAAGAAAAATAAAAATCTGTAAACTTCGGAAAATATAATTATAATTTACCTTTTCAATTTGTCAAATTGGCGTGTTGATTTTTAGTCACTATTTATGAAACGTTTCAGCACTATGCAAAATGAAATAATTTTTAACAAACGCATTTTTTTCACCATTTACTGTTACAGTACCCGACAAAACGTTTTCAATTTGTTAAATTAGTGATGTTTCAATTTTTAGCCACTATTTACGGAACAATATTATACAAGATAAAACAATTTTTAACAAACACATTTTTTACACTTTTCACTACTCTAATGCTCGACAAAAATAAAAACATTAAAACAAAGCACGTGCCAGCCCATCCACATTCTATACATAATAAATCTCATTTTGATACATTAAGAGATTGTTGGATTATACGTGAGGTCCAAGTAGGACTTTTTAGCCACTATTCGTGTGGATACTCTCTGAATCGATGTCACTTTTCATGCCTGGGATGGGAAGCATTTCTAGGAGACAATTTTTTATTTTTTCACTTCTAAGTGATAATGTCTATTTACATTTTCACTATGATAAAAGTTACGAAAATTTCATTGAATTCACTTCTAGAAAATGGGAAATTTTTGAACAAAGACTCCAATACCACAACATCTATATCTCTTTTACAGTTTTACCATCTTATCCCTCCACATATTTGCATGAACAAACGCATTTTGAGCTTTAACCGATCAATTTTTTTTTAAACACCACGCCTATTCAAAAATCGATCAACCACTTGGACATTTTATCATTTTACACTAGTATAAATATTTATTTTATTTTATTTTATTTTTTATTGTTTTAACATTTTAAGGATAATGAAAAATATTTAAAATGTCCACGATAATGAAAAATATTTAAAATGTCCACGATAATGAAAAATATTTAAAATTATCTCGATAATGAATAGTAATACAAATTACTAAGGTGATGTTTGATAAAATTAAAAATTAAGTATTACAAATTTTAAGAATTAAATTTTAAGTGCCAAATTTTTAAGTGATGATTAACTAAATATTTTTTAATTATCAGCATTTAACATGAAGTGATAGAGATGATTATAAGGATTGGTTTGAAATTAATAGAGAGAAATTGTAAGATTTGGTTTATAAGGGTCCGAATGTTTGGGGCAATTGAATTTTTTTTTTTAATTGTTATTATAAGACTAATTTTTCTAACTTTATTAGTGAAAAAAATGTTCCTTAAAAACAAATTTATAAATATTTCACCAAAATAGTTTTCTTATACAGATATCTGAGCATAATTTTCTCTAAATCTCTCCGTTTTTACTTTTTTGCTCTTCTATCAAAATGAATACTTGAGTGTTTAAACCTGTCCAAATCTACCATGCAAATCATTTTTATTTCAAATTTCACTTTTATGAATTATTTGATGTGAATACTCTCATCTTAAATCTCTCTCATTTTTATTTCATAGGTATATTAATCTTTGTGATCACCCCTATTCTATTTATATAGGCATTCTCCTCCCTAAACTAGAAAGCCTCTAAAACCTATATAATTCTCGCACACTTCCTCCATTTTAACTTTCTTAATTAAAAATAACGATAATAATTCATTAATGCCTATGAAAGAATATACAGATGAGCTTATTCTCTGGACATTGGTACAAATTCATTATTACTAGTACCATAACAAAAACCATCATCTATCATAAATACATTTTAATCAGTTTGATATAAAAATGGAGGATTTGGGGCTTCTGGACAACTTGGTTGGCCTCAAAGGCTCGAGGTTGTTATATTTTAGTGACCAAACTTAAACAAAACAAAATTGTTATAAAGTGACCACACAGCCGATATCAAACTAATAATCACCAAATTTAAAACTTCCAGGTCATGTTTTTCAATCTTCTACGCATAATAGTTTGAGATCATTCAGTTTTCCTGCTAAAGCAAAACAACTAAAAATTAAGGTACAATCCAAATTGTAGAACCAACCTGCCCCACAAAACAAGTAGGACCCAAAGCTGTTTCTTCAGGCAAGATATCGGTACAATCGTCTATCTGCCATATCACTCTCCAAGAAATTTCTCACACAGGGCCGACATTTCAGCAGACAAGTCGCAAGTGACACTGGGCTGAGAAGTCATCACGTCACGCACTATTGGGAGACCATCGGGAACCCGCCGGAACAAGTTGTACATTCTTCCCAAGTCTTCATACTTATCATTAAGGAGCATGCTCACCAAGCCTGAATTATCCATGTGGACTAGTCTCAGCATGTGGTTTGCAATCATCTCCTTCTCCACAACATTAGTTATCTTGGCTTCACTGTTGGCATCCAAGTACTGGGACACTCTCTCTATTTCTTCATTTAGGCGTCTCTCAGCTTTCCTTAAGTAGTCCCCACAATCACAGCACTCTATGAACTTCTGAGACTCGACCCTGTAAAAATCAGCTGAAACTTCAAGAAATGGTTTCTCAAAGTCTTCTTGGTAAACGGAAGGTCCCAGATCCATTAGCATCTTAATTATATTCCTCATCAGCCCCCGGTTAATAACTTCACCTGTCCTTTCTCTGAGTATCAGTTCAAGAAGTGTATTTAGAAGCCTTGTCTGAATTTTGCTGGAGTGTATAATGTTGTCCCTCCAAAGATTCAGCCCAAGATCATGAACTGGGGTTTTATGGGTACTTGGAATGAAAGTCCTGTCCATGTACATCAGTATGTTACGTATCCTCTCCAATGCTATATTATGATCTGTCCAATTCCTGTTCAACTCTTCCAGAAACAAACTACCCTCGGCCGACTCGATAGATTTTGATATCTTCTTTAGATGGAACGTCATTGTTGACACAAGTCCTGAGTACAGCTTCTCACCAAAGCTGTGCAATACCATATTGTAGGCATTTCTGAAACCATGCAAAGATTATAAAATCAGAAAACACAAGATTGTTCCACACACACAAACACACACACAAGGAGAGGAAGCGAGTTGAAAAGGCTACTCAAAACACATTATCATTCAGCATTTAAAGCATGATTGTACAAAAAGAAAATCAAAATAATATCAGAGAAAAAAAGGGTCATGGATTGGTGCAATGGTAAAAGATCGGGTAGAAAAGCTTGAGAACGCAAAGCATAGACACTTTCATAAAGGTGTCAAAGACACTTCACAACACTGCTAGTAATTCAAAAATAGATTTTATAAATTTGTACACTTAGTCGACAAAAGTCTTATATAACACGACAAGTTTAAGAGTGCCCAAGTCTGACAATCTTGAAAATAATATGAACAAGCCTCAAAATAAAAATTAACATTATACACATGGGCATCACAAGTCAAGCATACATTGACCCTTTTTCATATAAGCAAAAAGAATAATTGCAATGACAAAGTATGAGAGTAATAGCATAAATAATATAATAATATATACAATCTTCTCAAATCTTCATCTTCTAGACGATGTAAATCTTATAAGTAGAGAAAAAAATTATACAATTCTTAGTATATAAATAAAAATTAATTAAAGTTCTATAATTATCTTATTGAATGGATGCATATTAATTAAAATCTATACTTATATATAGCCAACTCTATGTGGTATCGACATCCTACTTTTTTAGGATTCGACATCTCTATATGTCTCTGTTGTATCGTTTCTGTGTCCATGCTACTTAGGCAAGTACAAGTACGATAGAAGCCACTTTGTTCAAAAACAATACCAAAATTCTGTCTGTCTCAAGTTTCTACTCCTCCCAGCATCCTACATAGGTGGGACAAGTATGGGATAATGCCCTTTTAATTAAAAATCAGACAAACTGTCACACAGATGGCCCTTGACCAGACAAAAGAATCCTCAGTACTCTGGGATGGCTGAAATGCAAAACATTGATGTAGCAAAATAAGATATATAAAATTTCAGGATAAAAGGTGAATAGCTACTGACTGAAACAACATCTAAAAGATCATGTTTTAATTACAATATTTAAAATTCTCTGGCACAGCTTGAAAAGAACTTGAATGAGTTGTCGAGAGGGTGAGAATTAGCAGAAAAAAGTGAAAACAAATTTAAATATTTCACTTTTGGGAAGAACAACAAAAAGATAAAATTTGGCGAAAGCTTGTGATAATAAGCTAAATTTCTATATGATATGTACCTTTTTTTTTTCCTTAGTAACACAAATATTTCCAATTGCAATAATTTTAAGGAAGAAAAAATTTCTACTCCATTTCTTATTCTGTTCTGATTCATTCTTGGTAAGCAACACCAAAAGGGCTTCCAAATATGCCCTCTCTTTTCCCTGTTTTATCCCAACCAAACAGGGAAACTTTTCCTTGTCATAATTACTTTTTAAAATCAAGGCTGTTACAGTAGGAGCATGCCAATGAGGCCGAACCTTTCCTCCCCCCCACCCAAAAAGGAAAATAAAAAAGGTAAAAAGGTATGCCACCATGATTTAGTGCATTTTAGTTGGAGTGTCCAAGGGTGTGCAGTTTAAAATTGGACCCGGAGGCCTAAGAACTGATCTCAATCATTCTAATCAGCCAAGTGGCACACGATTGGTAACAGTCACTTAGTTGGCTGCATCAACAATATATGACTGTTTCATTAGTTTGAGTAAAGTAATAGCAACAGATGACATGTTAATACCACTAGAAGACATAGAAATTTAAAAATTTCCCATTTACCGAACTGATTAAAATAACAAAGAAAGAATTTAGCCATAAGATGCCTATCTGTCTCCTTGATTGATTTTGTTCTAAGAAGCACAGGCACAGGCCCGCACATCTATGAAGGTGCAGTGTCCATATCGGACACCAACACTTCATGAGCACTCTTGGACACGTGTCCGACAATTCATAGATGCGTCCATAATTTAAAAATAAATTTTATTATTTCGGACACTTGACCGACACATCACGGACATTTGGTTAACACATTTCGGATGTTGAAGGATTTAAATATTAAAGTTACACCCTCTCTAACAACTTAAGCTTTTACAAATGTTGAAGGAATTAAATATTAAAGTTACACCCTCTCTAATGGCTTAAGCTTTTAGAGTACATGGTGGTTAACACCGGACACTTGGCCAACACACCATACCTCTTCGTCTTTATATAAATCAAACACATGACAGTACTAGAAATAACATTATGAAAATACATTAAACTGTTCAACCACTTTTTCTTTAAAAAGTTGACATTAAACACGACAGAGTATCTCATGAACAAAAACAAAACTATAGTAGGAGAGTATTATCATATCTAATATAATATCCTTTTTTATTCGAATAACTTAATCTTCTTAGTAATGTAACTTTAGTTTAGAAATTATAAATTAATTAAAATTCTATAATTGTCTTACTCAATAGAGATATAAATGAAAATTTTATATTTATATTAGCAGTGTCCACGTCGTATATGTGTCCTACTTTTTTTTAAATTTGACGTGTCGACGTATCCATATCGTATTGTGTTCATGTCCATGCTTCTTATTTTTTGTTTCTAAAAACAATTTCTACATGACACTTGCATAGTTGATAAAGGCACGTCTACGCTCCAAAAAGCCTTGTACTCTATGAGATAGACTGCAACTTTCTTTTGTAAAGGTATGCCCTTACTTCTAGCCTTGTACTCTATGGTGTTAATATAATTTCTTTCAAGAATTAGAAGGGAAAACAAAGGAGAAAAAATACTCATACATTAATCAATCAGATATAACTTGGACTCGCTGACCCAGGACACCTTCAATCCAATAATCTCAAAAAAACTATGTTCTTAATATAGCATTTAAATCATGAAAAGATACAGGACCAAATAACTCTTTGACTTGGATATAAACCAAACAAAATGATATAATCAAAGCTATCTGGAAGTCTTCACTAAAATTCCCAATCCAAATGGACTAACAAATTAAATCTATTTTAACACACCTGCCATCAATTAAACCCATTACAACCAATCATTAACCTAATAATTTTTAGACTGCAAAAAATTCATACAAGTGCCTCAAATAACTCTAAACTTCAGTATATTTGGGTTAACACAAGAAGACATAAAAAAATAAAAAATAACCACATTTAAACCAATCTATGAAACCATCAACCTATATAGTGGATCATTGATGAAAGCATGTCATTTTCATATACGATTCAACATCTATCTAGGTCAAAACACCGCACTTAGTCTCTTATGGCCAAAGATCATATGTCATTACTAAAATGATAATACTATTTAGTTTTTTTCTTCCCTCCTCCTCCTCATATCATGTGCCCAAAGATCATACATCATTACCATACTGAAATACCACTAAATTTTCTTCTTCCTCCTCCATTAACTAATTCTTTTTTCTATTCATACATCATGTCTAAATATCTTTCCTTAATATCTCGGTTAAGCTTTAATTTTTGAAACCTACATTCATACATAAATATACATTGAAATTGCTAGAATAATATTAAGCAACTAAATCCTTCATTCACAACATGTAAGTTAATTAAAATTCCATATTGTTCAAGTCCTTAGCATATAAATGTATATAATGCATTTTGAGATTTTAACCAGTCTATTTCAACCATTTAAATTACCTAATTTGATCTAAATAACCTTGGAACACCCCAATCCTCAAAACAGAACTCAAAAACTAATTCTGCAATTACATTCATCCTCCCTGAACAATACTGAGTGTAGAAGTAATAACTTTCCACAATTCAGTTATTTACTCTATCTCGCACATGTGTTTACTGTGTGAACGGAAACTATCGACTTTCGTGGTCTATGCCATTAAATCATTTTCCACGATAAAAGATTGTCTCCTTACATACTAATTTAACATACGATCCTGGCACCTACGCTCTTGCCTCCTCAAATACCTTCCAAATCAATGTCCTACCATTTGTTGATAAAACTAAACGATTTAACTTTAGGATGCACTAACGAACCGAATATAAAATACAATGAATCCTAAACTTAAGCTCTAAGTAAAAGAGTACACAACGCGGAAGTCACATAACGAAAGACACCTTAAGGACACTTGAACCTGTAGTGCTCTGATATCAACTGTGATACCCCCTAATTTCGGAACACGGGTTGATCAAGTCTGCACACAAAACCAGGGGATGTCAAAACAATTAGAGTATTTAAACAAGCACAGAGTACAAAAAGAAATAAAACGAATAAATAATTCGCTGAAGGAAAATCTATTAAATAAAAATTCCATTAATAATTCTCCAAAAGTTACAACTCTGGAATCCCGTAAATCAAGGACCCCTGATAACATAATCCAATAATCCAGTGATCTCTAAATAAAATCTATCATCTAACAATAAGAAAATATCCTACATTGAAATAAAAAGAAAGAATGGATAAGTCCTCCAGTTGGGGATCCTCAACCTTGAGACTTGAACTTCTAATAATCTAAAAAATAAATCATGGGTTAAATCCTACAAGCAAGTTCTCTCTACCAGTCCTTTGAAAACTAATAAGCAGATCATCTCTGATCAAAACCAAACCTAATAAAGTTTTAACCTTAATATACCATGATATACATATATATATATAAATAATTAAATACAGTATAACAATAACATCTATAACTAGGTGCATTAATTCCAAAACCATTATCAATGATTAAATAATAATCTTACCTAGTCCAATCCATAATTTTATTTTAAAGAAACTCCTCTGACCTTAATTCCATCCTATACATCAATGTAATAATTTAAACAATAAAATATAATTAAAAGAACATTATATTTAATTCCAAAACCAATAATGATTTTAAGTATTTAAATCACACAGCCAATATTTAGGCTTTGACAAATCATCCATGTCACCAGCAGTATTATTTTATTAATATGTATAAAATAATATACTAACATGTAAGTACTAGACTATTCTAATTTAAGA